GACTTGACTGACTTTAGATGGGAATAGTCGAGACAGTTTGGCATTGGCGATCTACGGAGAGTAGGTTGTGTTTTTTTGGATTAAACCAACGGAAATTTTGTACATATTCAATTTAGTCCCTAAATTGTATGAAAATATTCAATGTTGTCATCTATTAATTCAAGTTTAGGGACAACATTGAGCATTTCATATAGTTCAGGAACTAAATTGAATATATACCAAAAATCCAGGGACCTCATTTAACAAATTAAAAGTTCATAAACCACATTGCATATTGGACTATAGATCAAAGATCACATTCAGCAAGTTTAAAGTTCATGACTCACATTGCATATTAGACTAAAGTTAATAGACCATTTGAGTCATTTACCCTGAAAAATATTGTTTGGTTATTTCTTTGTTTGGTTTAACATTCAAGCATGTTTAATTATTGATCAAAAGTCATATTATTCCTTTTTATGTTCGTTATTGTAGCTAAGCGTTTACACCGGTTACACCCAAGTAGGATCGACGAGTGAAGAAGCAAGCACGTGAAGAGGACTTGATTTATTTAGATCAATTTTTTCACTTTGTGATTATGTCATTCGATATATTATTTGATTTGAAGTATCGAAATTTGTGAAATAATGAATTTTCAAACTATATATTCCAATTTTCCAATATCAAAATAGAAAAAAAAATACCAAATTCCAACTAGAAAAAACTGAACAACAAATAAACGAAAATAAAAATAAGGGTTACGCTTTTTCCACTTCCTCTTTGACTAGAACACTCCTCAACATAATAATATGAGTATATTGCCTTTTATGGGTCCCACTTTTTAGCATCCCTCTTTTGCCAATATTCTAAGAAAGTGTTAGTTACATTTTTTTGGGTTATGTCCCTTTTCTTTTAGGGTTAATGCCATGAAAAACCCCAAATTGGTATACCTGTGACAATTTTACCCCGAACTAATTTTTTGATCATAAAAAATCCTAAACTGGTACACATGTGACAAATTTACCTCGAACTATTTTTTTGATCACCAAAAACCCCACACTGGTACACTTGTGACAATTTTACCCTGAATTAATTTTGACCACCAAAAACCCTAAATTGGTACACCTATGATAGTTTTACCCCAAACTAACTTTTTGACCACTAAAAATCCCAAACTGGTACATTTGTGACAAATTTACTCTTTGTTAATGTCCGTTAAATTGAATTAATATCACAAAAAATCACAAATTGGTAAACTTGTGATAAATAGAAGGGTAAAACCCTAAACTGGTACACTTGTCAATTATCACATGTCATCAAACTTTAGCAATTTGACGGTAAAATTTAACGGAAACTAACGGATGACAAATTTGTCATGTGTACCAGTTTGGGGGTTTTGGTGGTCAAAAAATTACTTTAGGATAAAATTGTCACATGTGTACCAGTGTGGGGTTTTTGGTGGTCAAAAAAATAGTTCAGGGTAAAATTGTCATAGATGTACCAGTTTTTGATTTTTTGTGGTAAAAAAAATAATTTATGGTAAATTTGTCATAGGTATACCAATTTGAAGTTTTTTGTGGTATTAACCTTTTCTTTTATTGATATTCTATTTCTTTTTTTGTGGGTCTCACTTTCACTTTTGTTGTCTTTTTCCTTCTCTATGTTCTCTCTCATGTAACTACTCACAACAATAAAGGTAGAAAAAAAAAGGAGATTTCCACGCTTGTGCGGTCAGAGGCTACTAAATTGGTCATCATGACCCACGATAGCATCTTCTTAAGCCGCCTGAGTGAAGGTACTCTGCAACATGTCTTGTGGCAGCAAAGGGATGGTGTTCGTCGAGAGTGGCGTATATTGGCGGGACATGAGGAGGTTGTGCACTCTGCATTTGATGAGCCCAATGAAAGTGGAGAAGTTCGTGCCGATGAGGAGGAGGAGCTGGGAAGATGGGGAGGTTGAAGGTGGCAGCCTTAAGGTATACCCTCCAAAATCTAAAAAACTTCATCGAAAAACCCTTTTCTACCCAAGGAATCAATATAATTCGCAAAAACAGCGTTGCTCACAAGCAAATCCTCTTGGCATTTCATTACCTCCCACAGCTTACAATCAATTTCCTCACTTTCTACCCATTTAGCTGTAAAAAAATATTCACCGATCAATTCGCACTTACAAAGAGCATGAAGTACATTGAGGTTGAGCGAGTCATATCGGTAGCTGTGAAAACGGAGGTAGTTAAGGAGGAGGGCTTCATCGATGTCCCGGTGGTGGGTTGATGTAGCCCTGCCTAGGATATGCGAGCACAAGAACGTGACCTTCACGATTCTTCATTTCTCTACCTCTTGAGAAAAAATAGAGTTTGACCAAGAGAGAGAAGGAAAAAGATTAAGAAAACTGAATGTGGGACCCACAAAGGGCAATATTGTTATAATATTGTGTAAGGTTGGGGACAACCTAAACTAAGTGCGATTGCCAACTCGCAAGGAGAAACGTTAGCTCCCATTTGGCAGTCCTTCAACTCCCGCTGGAGGGTAGCAACATGGGTTGGCGTTGCTCGAGCATAACAACAATACACTATGCGATTGAGGAGAAGAGGGATTTGTGAATAGTATTTAGTAGGCGTGATTTTTCTTAAATTTGAGAATATCTTTAAAAAATTAGGGTAAATCATTAATTTGTATAAATCTAAACCTCTATTATTTGATAGCAAATGATTTTCATCATTCATTCTCTCTCTCTCTCCATCCAGCCTATCCCAAGTTGGCCGCCACATTAGTATTCTCATCTGTGTTCTCAACGAATGTCGGGCAAGCAGATGCCGAAGATGACTGTGGCACTACCTGTACAGCGGTTTTAAGGTGTAAATTTACATCTTAAATTCATTTCTCTAGATGATGAAATCATTTGCTATCGAATCATAGAGGTTAAGATTTAGACACATTGACGGCTTACCCTCATTTTGTTAAAATACTCTCAAATTTAAGAAAAAAAAGTCACACATATGTAACACTATTCACAAATCCCTCTTCTCCTCAGCCACAAAGTGTCTTGCCGCTATCTTGTAGCAACGCCAACCTACGGTCGAAGCCAGGATGATCACCATCGCCCCCCGTCACTAGATTAGATCAACCGTCCCCCACAAATCCAATTCAATCCTTTGTAATATTGTAATTCTTCTCTCTTTTGGTGAACTATGTGATTTAATCACGGAGAACTGTGTGTTAATTGCTACTATACTATAATCTGCGAATAAGGCCGGCCTGTTCATGTTATGCATGTCTACTTTCACCGATTGGCTCATGTGAAGGTCAATGTTCAATCCAACAAAAAAATATATATTGATACGTATGCGGAGAGAGAGAGAGAGAGAGAGAGAGAGAGAGAGAGAGAGAGAGAGAGAGAGAGAGATTATCTTTAGTCAATGCTTTCGCCTTGATTTTGGGCTATCAACTATCTTTAGTGGCCCGAGATATTATTGAAATCAAAATCGAGCCGACCAATTCTCCTAGAAGGAAAGGACACGGCAAAACGTTAATATCAACAACTACATGATAATTTAAGAGCCTCAAAATCTTAACGACTACATGATAATTTAATAGTCTCAAAATCAAACCTACCTCCCTCTCTCTCACCAACAATTCAGCAAAAAGAGGGTAATACGACCCTACAATAATAATTAGACTCATCATATATCTATCTATCTTTTAAATCTATGAGGTGAATTTAAGAGGGCAATGTTACACCCAACAATAATATGGCACGCTTCTCTTAGCTTTCTCAAAGTTTCTAGCGATGAAATGCGTGACTTTCGAGATTTTGTTTTAGCAATCGTCTTGACGTTGAGGCCGATCTCAATCTCCACCTCAAGAAAAGAGATGTCTTATTCAGAATTCCTTTCTTGAAGTCATAAGATCTCACCTTTTATCAAGTCAAACATGCTAGTTGTCAAAGAGATTTGCCTGAGAAAATCGAGGGGGGAAGATTGCCTAATAAGTCCTAAACTTATTATATAGATGTCAATTCAGCCCTAAGATTTTTAATTTTGCTAATTTAATCCTAACCTTTGCGCAAAATTCCAACGTAGTCCTTTCAGTCAATTTTTTACTGGAAAACACTGATGTGGCGGTCCGGTTATCGCCGCCCATCTCACGTGGCATATCGCCATGTAAGCGATTTCCAGTGAAAATTGGCCAGTAGGACTACATTGGAATTTCGTACATATATTTAGGACTAAATTGTGAAATTAAAAAGTTTATGACTGACTTGGTATCCATATAATAGGTTCAGGACGGATTGGACAATTTTTCCAAATCAAGTGCTTGATCTATTAGAAAATCATAGATTCCTATTAATCCTAGGCAAAAATTGGGGCGGAAGAGGTGGATTATTAACGTGCAATCGTGCATACCCTTCCAAAGACTATATACTAAACAAAACAACAGAATCTGAGAAGCCAACTGTTTTGCTTTCCCCCTTTTTGTCTGACTTTCAGACTTTTTCTTCCAAAATTGAAAGATAAAATATACCATTCAAGTTGTTAAAAAAAAAATTTCATGAAATATCATGTACGACTCCGCCTAACGTTATTTACATATTCTTGTAAACTTATTCTAAGCATACACGATTCTACATAATCTGTTTTGGTTTGGTCAACACCACACGTTTCTCTACCCGAATGATACTTGGGTTACATTACATTACATAATAACATGCTAAGAGTTCATAATTGGCAGAAATGGCACGTCAAGGTCAACGTTCAGCCAAACCCTCTTTTCTATTTTTCTATTGTTTGGTTAACAAACTCCCGAAAATCGATGCCTTTAGCCTTTCGCCTAAGGCAAAGACCACTTGCCATAAATGCAATAATCAACAAGACAGAAAAGGCATGCGAAGGTCAACGAAATCTAAACAATCAAAAGCTGATTTTTTCAACATCTTTGACAAAGTCACCAAACTTCTGGGCAATTGAACAGAGATTTTGGGTCTATTTAAGTAGCGTCTCCGCAGGGATTTCAGTTGTGCAACCCAATAATTCAAGTATCGAAGGATCTCCTTCTCTCCCTGATCTCTCTATCAAGCTCCTGAAGGTGTGCGGCCTTTTCACGATTCACCTTCTCCTCATGCCCATATAAAGTTTTACTTCGCTTGTGGATTTTATTCATGTTATTGGCTCCATTGGTCTAACTCATCATGGTTCTTCCTCATGCAACTCAAGTCGTGTTTACATGTGAGAGGAAAGGTGCTAGAGTATCCCTCTTTGCTTGCGTATGAGGTTTAATCGATTAGTATGTATAGCCTTAACGTGTGCATGTAGTGTCCCGCCATCTAATAGCTCTGTTTGAACTCTGTAGCGCCTTTTTCTCAGGGAAAAGTCTGACATTTCTATAAAGTTTGAGATATGCCTTCGCCTGTGGCGGCATTCACAGTCGGGGACGGCAGTAGCCTGACAGTTGAGAGATCCATCCCTATCGCGGTGCAACCGGAACACAAAACGCCTGGAGGTTCCATCTTCTTAACTAGCATTGATCATGTGGATCACATACTCGTGTCGACCGTTTATTGTTTCGAGAGAAGCACCGAGAATGCAGTAGATGTGGTTAAACAAGCTCTGTCCAAAGTTTTGGTTCATTATTATCCACTCGTGGGGAGATTAGGAAAGAGCTCCGAAGGGAAGTTGATTGTTGATTGCGAAAAGAAACTAGGAGTGCCATTTGTGGAGGCAGTGGCCAACTGTGACCTGGACAGTCTCGGCGATATGTCAATTCTTCATCCTGATGTTTTAGGAAAGCTTGTTTACACTGATTCTACGACACAAAATATGCCGGAAATTGCACCCCTTCTAACTGCACAGGTGAACAATAATTTGTGTACTTATAAATTCTCGAAAATACTTAACAACCATTCTAACAATTTACAATTACCAAATCTAATGTCTATTTTATTAACTTGGAGTAAAAACAGGTAACAAAGTTAAAGAATGGAGGTCTCATTCTGGGGATTGCTTTTAACCACTGTATGTCTGATGGTATCTCTGCGATAAGATTCATTAATTCTTGGGCTGAAATTGCAAGAGGCGAGCCCTTATCGGTCGTCCCTTATCACGACAGAACTATTCTAAAGCCAAGGATGCCTCCTCAAATCTGCGGTCCTTACGATGACTTTGTTCAACTAAGTGATGAATCAAACATGACGGCCCTCTACAAGAAGGAGCAACTCGTGTGTAGATCTTTCCACTTTGACTCTGAGAAGCTGGCAGCAGTTAAAAAAATGGCAACAGCTTGTGGACAGGTAATGTTGTCTTCTTATAATGGTGGCAATCGGCAATAACATGTACTTAACAACACGATAATAACTTTGGCGATGATATGCCAAAAAAGTAAGTTGGTAGGTCCTTCATTACTTATTGTAGGAGCGCTTAGCAACTCACAATTATTTACACAAAAATTTCAAAGATACTCCCAAGTGTATCAGAATGACATTCAAAGTTACTTAATACTACTTTCAGACAATGAGTGCATCTAAAAGAAAATGGCCGTGAAAATATGGTCGCAAGAAATTCCAGCGACTAAATAGTGACTTCTCACAATTTCTCTTATTTTTGGTCGCTAGAGACTGGTGTTTTCGAAGTGCACTCATGGTATCTAGTCCTCATAAACAACAGGGGAAGCGCAGCATCACCAGCTTCGTAGCACTCGCAGCCCTGGTGTGGCGAACTCGAAGCATGGCCCTCAAGATGAAACCGCACCAACAAACAATGCTCACTTTGCCGGTTGATTTCAGGTCTAAGCTAAGCCCTCCGGTGCCCGACGGTTATTTTGGAAATGCCGTGGTCTTCCCATGCTGTCTTTGCACCGCGGGAGAGTTGATTGATGAGCCGATCTCTTCCACCGCGGAGAGAATAATCGAGGCGATCGAGCGGGTGAATGAGGACTATGCGCGGTCAAGGATCGACTATTTGGACAGGTATGGATTTAAAGAGTTTTCCCTAGGCACACTACTAGTAAGTTCGTGGACGAAGCTGGCTTTTGGCAGCACGGACTTTGGATGGGGAGAGCCGAGGCAGTTCGGGACTGGTGGCCTGCAGACTAAGTCCTGCCTGTTTTTGAGGGGAGGGAGAGATAATAAGGACGTTGTGGTGGTGTTGGAATTGCCATTTTCAGCCATGAACACCTTCCAAGAGTTGCTCCAAGTTTAAGCTCACTAGCCACAATAAACCATCTTCAAGAGAGCTTCTTTATGGTTCCAGCATTGCTATCCGTAGTGAGAGGTGTGCGGAATTAGTTTATGTGTTGGTGTGACAAACTACAAGTGGAATTTCTAAGTAAGTTGAATGTGTTCAACACTCGATAAACGTCTTTCATATCATCTATGAATCAGTTTTTGTAATTCAGTCTTAGTGCACCTTATTACTTGCGCTTATAATTGATTATATTGACTGCGATTATCAGTATGAATTTCAATCTCTTGTTTTCATTTTTTTTCCTTACATTTGGTCCTTGTTGTTGTTTAAAATCAATTTGATTAAACGTGATTTTATTTGTGGAATGGTTCAATTTCCTTTTCTATTCCAAAGAAAATTTCATGGAACCACCGATATTTTGGTGCTTTCCCACTAGGGCTAACGTTGGTGCGCAATCAGGCAATTAGGCAAGTGCTTTACAGCATAGAAAAAACATTGATGCCTTTCATGGGTCGATCTAGATCTATTTTGTAGTTTCAAAGGCCATTCAGTCGCAATTTTAGTCCACAAAGTCTCTCTTAGCTATTCTAGAGAAAACTAGAAAAGTTCTTGATGAAGCCAATCTTAATTCAGTAAGCTTCCGACGTAGAAATAGGAATTGGTTATGAATCAATGTTAGCACATTCGTATCAGATGCTCAGCACGACGCCATATCAATTGCACCACAGGGCCAATTGCGTATCACAACCGGCCGCAAGGGTCAATATTATATGCTGGTCAATCGAATTGCGTGTCCCGCACAACCGGCCGCAAGGGTCAATATTATATGCTGGTCAATCGAATTGCGTGTCCCGCATACTAACTAGATTGCCCCATGCCTCTCTCTCTCTCTCTCTCTCTCTCTCTCTCTCTCTCACGTAAGAGGGAGGACTTGGTATTTCCTAGGAAAAGAACATAGTCGACAAATTAGCTTGGTCATGTTATCACTTCCTTCTCATGGGCATGGTTTAGACCCGAAAACTTTTGTCAAGCTGATGTCATTTTGAAGTTTAGTTTAATTGAAATTTGAATCGTTGACATCCCTATTAGATAAAGCCGTTTGTGTACATGAATTTTTTACATTCGTGATGTATGCTTTATTTTTTATAATTAAAAGCCACTTCCTTAGTTAAATTATACTCTTTCATTTATCTGCTGATGTCGATTGACATAAAAAGATATGCACGCTGCACAAAATCTTGAACGCCTCAAAGATAATGACATTGCTTACATTGACGAGTGAATTCAACCATTACTTATCTGGTTTTTCATAATTTCTGTAACTATTAGCAACACTATCATGACCTCTCAATCAATTACTTTCACGCTGCAATCTGTCGATCTTGTAACCAGTTCGTCCATCTTTTTTTATTGGACAATCTATCCCCCATCAACCAATGGTTTGGTATACACGTCAACGTCACCAAAACAAAAATACAATCTATCACAGCGGCGCATGTTCTGGATGTACCATCGGACAGGAAAGGAAATGTGAAACTGAACGTCACCAAAAAATTTGACCAAAAAAAAAAAAAGAACGTCACAAAAAAAACATTGTTAATACAGCCAATTGCTTTAGATTGCTTTGTTTTGCAGATTCTGCTAGGGGTGCATGACATTATAAATCCATAAACATAATTGAAAAAACTTCATGTGAAGCTAGGTCAATATTCACCCAAACAACAAATTGCTAATTCTTAAATTTGTTTGGTTTGGTCAACACGTTCCAAATCCCTAATTTTCGGAAAGCTTGTCTACGGAGATCCTATCCAAAATATATTAGAAGTTGCAACCTTCTAACAGCACAGCTGAACATGTTTTGTTTTCTAATAATGATTTGGAAATTTCTATTAATATTTTCTGTTTGGCTTTCTTCGACAACATTATTTGTTGAATAAGTTCTGCATAGACTTTAGTTCACATTGGACTAGTTAATGCCATGTTCCCACTTATAGGAAACTATACCAAAAAACTCATAAACCTATTATATTGATATCAATTTAGTCATAAACCTTTCAATTGGACCAATTTTATCATAAATCTTTTCATATTGGTATCAATTTAATCAATCCATCTAGCCAATTTAAGTCAAAAATTGCTAAAGTAGACACCGGCCCTCCTACATGTGGCATGACCAGTGCTAACATGGACAATTCTTTTATAATATTTCTATAAATTTTCAAATTTTTTATTAATTTTTTAAAAAATTTCGCTTGTTTTTTTCTTTTTTTTTGGGGCCTATGGCTGGTAGCCAGCTAGAGGTGACGGCATCGTAGCCCTTGCCAGATTTGGCGTGGCCTTGACCCTTGCGGCCTGGGTAAAGGTTGTGGCCTAGGTGAGGGTTGCCTTTGCGGCGTTTGGCCTCACCCCTTGGACGAGGGTCCTCGTCAGAGGCCCCGAGGGTAGCCATTGCCAAATCTGACGAAGTCCGCCCTTGCTAGATCCAACGAAGGCCGTCCTTGCCCAGCTGGCGAGGGCAGCCGAGCACCGGCCACAAGCCAAAGAAAAAGGATAAAAAAAAGGAAACGAATTGATAAATAAATAAAATAAAAAATTTGAAAAAATTGTCCATATCAGCATTGACCGTATCACGTAGGACGACCGGCGTCTACGGCCTAAATTGGCCTGATGGATTCAATTGGTACTAATGTAAAAAGGTTTATGACTAAATTGGTCTAATTGAAAGGTTTATGACTGAATTTGTATAAATGTAATAGGTGTAGGACTCTTTTGGTACTTTTCCCCGCACTTATACATTTTGGATGTGGTGAACGACTAGAAAGAGTAACTTTCTACCTAGCTATCAGTAGTTAGCGACTTCTTAGTGCAGTTAGTGAGTTTAAAATACGAAAATTAAGTATCAACATAATAGTAATGAAAAATCTCTTCGTCACTCAAAACAAACTAATTGAGCTGAAAGACTTTATTGCACCGTTTTGATAAATTTTGTAATTTAATTGCATAATTTGAATGTTTATTAGGACCCCTATGCCCCTAGAGTATTGACTTCATGGATGTGTACGAATTCGAGCCTTTGTTGATGGGCACGCTAATGCTCAGTTTGTGGATGTTCTGGTCGAGTGGGGTTAGCCCAGGCAGTTTGGCACTGGTGACCTGTGGAGAGTAGGTTGTGTGTTTTTGGCTTACGGGAAAGACAAATACATTGGGATGGTGTTGGGTTTCTCGATTTCAGCCATGACCACTTTCCAAGAGTTGGTTTAAATGCAAATTTACAAATCATGAACAGTGTTGGGAGTGCACAACAAAATTATAATATTTTCACTGTATGAAAATTGTTAAGAGGGAGCTCAAGTCGGATCCCGTCAGCATATTCAATTGGAACCATTTTTACTTAAAAGCTCAAAACTATAAGTTATAGACTAACTATGATACATTAGCTACTTCATATCACACCAATTTTTTGACATGGGAATTTTCTAATACAAGTCCAGCATGCATATCAACAATTTCTCCATCACATGTGAACTTAGTATTAGGTATACTCCCTGTTAATTTTTAGGTATATTTCTACTCCAACATGTCTCAACTTGAATCTCCTTTGTTACCTTGCCAGGATTGCACCAACAACAATGCCCACATTCATCCATGCTCTCTTTCTCCATACCGAAACATGAGGGCTACCCAAAACTGTTTTGGCCACAAAATTCCTTCTTTGAAATATTCATCAAACACCATACATTTTGGGAGTGGACCCCCCAACCAATTATTGGCTTTGATACTATTTATTGAGAGCGCGTAGCAAAAATCAAGAGAGTTCGCTAAGAGAGAGCCTAAGTATGAGCTTGTCAATATATCTAGTTGGATCCACTTTCACTTAAAAACTTAAACTAATGGATTTTGAGCCAGTTAAGATATATTAATTACTTGACACCACACCAATTTTTGATCTAGAATTTCTTATGTGCATCTCAATAAACAACTTCGAGAGAGAGGTTGCTTTATCATTTCAACAATGCTACATCGTACATGCATATTCATTGTTGGAGATCAAATTAATGAAATAAGCTTTCTTTTCTCATTTAAAAAGCTCTAACCCTTTTTAAATTACAAATGCAACGTTATTCCAACCCTTTGTTAGACTGCAATTTCTTGTCTCTCATTTGGTAAACTACATGTTATCCCATTGTCAACTTTTACCTATCAAATTGCTATGTTTTGGGACTAAATTGCCAGGTGCGCCTGTTATAAATGTATAACTTGAGGGAGTTCCACGTGAAAGCCAACGTTCATCCAAACAAGCAAAAAGTATTAATTGGTAAAAAAAAAGTAATCCTCAACCAAAAACTGGTGCGCTATAAATGGATGACTAATGTGCGTGCACACCCGTCCAAGTGTTTCATCTCTAATATCTCCGGTTCTTAGAGGTATGCAGGTTGTCGACTAAGTTTTGAATCGTGTGTGCGTTATATTTGGCCACCGAAGCTCATGAATGGCCTATCTTTGTGCTGTGTAAGTAAATTTTGTTCGGCATGTATGGCGGATGTGTGGTAACGTGTACCTTTGACAACGCATATTGTGTAGGAGTAAGCCCTGCATAGATTGTCAAGTACGGGTTTATACAAAGCCCAACAATTTAAACTTGGTCACTTCCCTTCGTATTTAAGCATTTATACGTCTTCTTTTGATATAAGACCTAAGAAGTTTGGAAGCCCGTCAAACTAGTGGGTTGGGTTGAAAATGGTCTGACCAAATTAAACAATTTAACCCGTTTTGACACACTTACATGCAAGGCAAAACTGACAACCCATACTCAACCTCACCCGGGATCCGTTTTAGCAATTTTTCTCCTTAAATTCTTGCCTTTGCAGAATGGATGGTTCCATAGACCAACTTATCGAGCTAGTGACAGAGCTCGAGGGTAAGGTTATGGACGCGGACGTGAAGGTGGTGGTAAAAGTTCGGCTTGGGCCATCCTTAATCATGAAATGGGTTCGGGCTTTGGTTTTGAGTTAAATATAGACGAGTATGCACGAATCTGAAGACCTGGATGAAGACATTCGAGAATGTAACTTCTCATTTCTGGTTCTCCATATATAGTACAAGCAAGCACTCCATCCAAGCGTAATGAGAAGTTTCTGCAATGGGACCTAAGTGAGCAAGCAAGGAGCAGGTAGCAAACATGGAGGATATACATCAGCTCTTCACCACCGGCCTTCTTGATGCTATCGGAAAATCTAATCTCAAGTTCTCCTTACAATTCTAGG